AAACAAATTACTAAAGCACGGAGATGTGGGGATCATTAATTGTGCTCACATGAGGTAGCCAGTGGCTGCCTTCCCTGAGCACATGCTGTATTCCCCTTAGCCTTCTGTCTCTGTAGTGCTATATTCAAATGGACTGGAATAGAAATAATGTATTTTAGTGTTGATTTCTGATTTTTTTCTTAATTCACAACATCCAATTTCAAATGTCCCTGGTCTAGCTGCTTTTGCTCTCAGTACTAGAACACAATTTCTGCTTGTTTTAGTCCAGCTATGGTATCTAAAATATAAAAATTAAAATTTTTTACCAAATCATAATGTGGTGTTGATTACATGAGTGACAATTTGTGCAGAATGAAATGTCATCTTCTGATGACTGACTTAACAATCCCTACAGCTCAGCTGTTGCTGGTGCTCTTTGGGGACAGAGGAAAGGGGGGCACTGGCACATGCCCTGCAGCTGAGCTGCAAAGCTAAGGGGCTGTAATAAATTAGCTGACTAGGGGATGTGCATGCTGCAGTATAAGTCTCTCTGTCTCCTCTGTCCCAGCAGATGGCACAATAACATGCCAATAAATGTAATGAAAGTGTCTCTCCATTTGTCTTTATATGCCTTGAAATATCCCTCACTTTGGAGCATATAATTCTATGAGCAGAAAAAAAAAAATCCTCTCTGATCCTTTTTAAACTCCATTGTAAAACAATGGAGTATTCAAAAAAGAAAAGAATCTCAAAAGCAGAGACTGTTTCTTAAAGATACACTATTTATTCTCTGCCATCCTTATGGTTACTCAAAAGGCCTGATTTTAATTTTCATGCAAATTTATCATACATCTCTCCAATCTTACTTCATGCGCATCAACACAGAGCTAGTTACTTTATGCACTAGTTCATTAGCCTTCTGTTTTCTTCCACCTACTAACAGTTCTAACAATTCCTGTCACCTCCTCTGGCAGCTGCATTTCCAGACATGCCTTTTCACAGTAATAGGTCCAGCTAATCATGACCCATCTGCTTAATATCTGGAAACTGAAAATTAAGCAGGCAGGTATTGTTTCTATGATTATATGTTTTCCAAAATCAATTATAATGTTTAGCCCAAGTTATCACCAAACTTTGAATTTCGACTTGAAGTTTTCATATTTATAAAGGTCAAGTGTTTTGTTTTGGGGGAAAATGCACCTATTTACTATAACTACAATGTAATTTCCTAAAGGAACTTTCTGAAAAACAACAAACTCCCCAACGTAAATATAAGCTTGTAGGCTTCTTACAATGTTTAACAAAAGCAATCTGAAGGAAAAAATCCAATGCTTTCTTTTAACCTACACAGAGTATTTAGGGACCACAGGAGTAAAAACATAAGAATGTTCTGGCCTCTGCTATGAAAGGAATGAGCTCTCCTGTCCTTTGTTGCCCATTACTAAGCCCAAAGGTAGGGGAAGTTCTTTGTTTTGTGACTATGGGTCACCAGCCAGATTTGTGTGTTGTACATTTTAAAATCTTACAACATAATATTAAGAAAAAAAACCACAAAGGAAAAGAGATTAATAAATCCAATACACAAATATTTATGACTTCAATTCAAATTAACACTTAAAGATATATAAAAATTAGAATACCTTTATACATAGAGAGCTCTTTCATAAATTTGCCACACACACACACACACACACACAGCCTTTCCCTTGCAATAGAGATGAAAGATAATAATGACCAGTGAACATATGGAAAAAAGAAGGGTTGACCTCTCCAATGACATGTGTAAGTCAGCATATGGGCAAAGATTTAAAAATCAGAAACAGTCACATGTAATCCTTTAATGTTAAGAATGCTTTAAAGGAGAATTCTCTTGTTTGCTAGTTGCTGCCCCCCACTCATGTTAATTTATTAAACTTCGCTGTGAAAACACTTTGATTTTCCAAGAGGAAGCTACCTTGTTCTTAAGCTCCGCAATGGAGACAGAGCTGCACTATGTCAAACTGAGAGCAGCTTTTCTTCCTCTCTGCTCATTTTGGGTTAACATGTTTAAGTAACTAGTGATGGCCCTTTGAGGTGTTTCAGGCGCTGTTTCATACCTGCTCTTGAAGGTCACAGGACTGAATTACTCCAAATTCAGTTATGACCACATCATCATATCCTAGTTGTATTTACAGAACCAAAAAATAATGACTGTCATACAACCATTTTTAATCTTGGTGAAGCAGACTGAACCTGCTCAGGTACTATTTTATGGGATAAAGTCATCTTGATGAGAAAAAAGTTAAACAATAGTTTATTTTGTTACCTACCAGAACAACTCTTATCTTGAATTTGTTTCTTTTGACAGTTCTACACAAAAATGTTTAATGTGTTAATAAATGTCTGCTTTGCTAAAAAAAATCAGGAATAATATTAGGTAGGGCATAGATAGGGACAAAAGCACTATTGTATTCTTTTGGTGGTCATAAATATTGGTGCTGTCCTTTGAGAATGTAATCTAACCAGATCTATCAAAACTCTATGCTATAGTCTGTATGTTTTTGTCCCCCCCCCCCCGCAAATTCATCTGCTGAAGGATCCTGACCCTGCCACACCCTGCATGGCCTCCCTTGGAAATCCCAGAAGCCTGCAGGCCCCCCCGCAAATTCATCTGCTGAAATCCTCACTCCAAGATGAAGGCATTAGGAGATGGGGGACTTTGAGAGGTGATTAGATCATAAGGGTGGACCCTCAGCAAGGGATTACTGCCCTCATAAAAGAGACGTAAGAGAAACCCTTTACTTCTTCCACCATGTGAGGACACAGTAAAAAGGTACTATCAGCCTGAAAGTGGGCTCTCGCCAGATAATGGAATCTGTAGACATCTTGATCTTGGGCTTCCAGCCTCCATAACTGTAGAAATAAGTTTATTGTTTACAGGCTACCCAGTCTGAGGCATTTTGTTACAGCAGCCTGAATGGACTAAGATACCCAATTGGTTTGTGTCCCCTCTAACCACCAATTCTAATTCTAGGTTGTTTGTCCTCATCCAATCATTAGACAAGTGTCTATAAAGATTTTGACACACATGAATAGAAAAGAATCTGGAAGGATATGCACAAAAATATGATTATCTATGAATAAAACTTGAAAGATTTCTAGTTTGTTCATTACTTATCTGTATAGTCTCATGTTTCTATAACACATTACTTTAAAAATTATTCTTCTTGTTTTTATTTTCTTTTTCAGAAAAAGAAAGCACTGTAAAAGCATAGAAATGGTGCCTGGAACTTTGGGATTTCCTATCCAGAGTTACCTTCATGTAACTTCATGTAACTTTAAATTTTATTCCAGTTGCTTCAAGAGGGCTGATTAAATGTGGAAAACATAGTAGTAAGCTCCTAAGGATAACAACTCTTTGTTTCTTTCCTCTTTACTCCCGCCCACATAGAAATGGCTTAAGAAAGACATACAGCCTATAGAATATTCAGCTAGGAAGTCACAATTTTCCATGGCTACACGATGTTTTTTCAGTGGAACTAGATTCCTGAGCAAAATCTTTTTGTGGGAGTGCAAGATACACCAAGCGGTAGAAGAGAAATTGATGATGACTTCCCTGAGAAGCCTCCAAAGTGAAAAAGCATCCCTTTCTCCTACTCCTGGTTACACAGTGGGAAATGCAGCAAGAGAGGAACACCAATCCTTGACACAAAAAACGAAACGTGACTTGAAGGTAGCCAGGCGGGCAGGTGTGGGATTGAAATGGCTGCTTGCCACAGCAGTAAAAGGCCTGCGACAGCCGCACATTTACTATCCGTTTGGCGGTGTTTCCAACACAGGCTGAGGGATTTCATTTTTCCCATATAAGGCAACAACAAGGATTTCAAATGGACCAAACATTTTATATTAGTGTCAACAGCCCTAACACAGCTTCAGCTGGCAGAGAACAGGGAAACCAAGAATATCTGCATTTTTTATTCCAGAGAAACTGCCTGAACACCATCTGTTCTCAGCCACCCTTATTCCACCCAACGTGACCCTTTCTGCAGGATACCCTTGCCCCAGTCATGTGTCCTGACCCAAGAATTTTAAATCACAATCCTCCCCTGAATACAGAGATTTGGAAAGTTAATTTCAACACAACAATTACTGCAATAAATTTAAAAATAAATAAAAATAAAGACTTGTTCCTCCAACCTTTATTCTGAGCATACATGCCATGCTTTGCTTATAAATCATGGGGGTGGTGGCAGGATGGGGCTCAAGTTACATAGCATGGAAAAATCAATACTCTTTTATTCTAGGATCTATGAACAGGCTCAAGGTCACAGAAATTGAATAGGAAAGCCCACTGAATTAGCAACAGGAAATACGTTGTATAGAACAAAGACAAAACAAGTTTCCAACATACCTACAAAACACTATGATGTCTATATTTGTTGTTAGTTGACTTTAATGAAAAATGGCCATTTACAAAATTAACTGTCTCACTCTGAAAATAAGGGGGAACCATTATTTGAATAAATATGGAACAAAGGAAGGCACAAATAGTGATTATATTAATATATTTGATCTTATGAACTCTAAAAAGGAATAAGATGATACCCTCTCAAAAGAGAAAAAGCCAAGAGCTTGTCATTAAAAATAAAAACAATCTATTGATATAGAAATAGAGCTTTATTTATAAATTTGTTAAAAGAATACAAAAAAATTGTTTCCTTCGTTCATATTGGTATTCTAGATTAAGAAACTGAATTGATTAAGATCTTAAAAGACCCCAAAGCTTCCCCAAACCTGTAATTTAGTTAAGAATTAGTTACAGAGACACAAGCCTGAAGCACCCATAGCTCTTGCTAACATGAAAAAAGTGATTCCCTCTTTTTCTGTCTTACTAACATTGCTCTAATTATTCTTCTAATAAGAGGCAAAACCAATTAGAAAAATAAAGTAACATTTTGCTGGCAGTAGAGATAAAATATGAGTTCAGTAATCAGCTCCTGCAAACATGCATAACTAATGACTGGAGAAATCGGCCATCCCTAACCACTCTGTTGAGTACATCGGCAGTTGAAGTTAAGGTAAAAAATAGTGAGGCTGAGCAAAACTACATGAAGAAGTAGTGGGGGTTTTTCAAGGTCAGTTGACGAGAGCCAGATGGAAATAAGTATTTCTCATATATCCTGGAAGGAAAAGAAAACAAAAATTACCAAAAGGAGCAAAATACAATTCAAAACCTTTGTAGTCCAAAATAAAATTCCTTCAAAGAATACTTTTACTGCATCAGGTAAGAAAGACCAGATTTTAATGATGAAAAGTACCAGTGAAATGGTTTAATTTTCAAGTCACACTGTATTTAGCTTACAACAGTCTCTGTCAAGAATGGAACAGCTTATCCAAGGACAGCTTGTTGGTTGTGTTCTTAGAGAGAGGCTAACACAGGCCCCAAATAATAGAGTTCACAAATGTTGTCACCCTCCTCCAAGGTTACAGCAAGGACAGAAGGAACCCAATATGGAGCAATTTAAATGAAAATGTATCAAGAGGAGGTATACTGCTCTATGCAGCAGGAAGATGACTTCCAAAGGGACTGGGAGATAGGGAGATAAACTAATAAGTCCCCACCCCCACTGTGTGCAAGGGGTCAAGGAAATCTCCATCAAGACTTCCACAGCGCTAGGCCACTTAGAATACAGACAATTGCTGTTTTTTCTAACACTTTGGGAAACTAATCTCAGGTGACTTCATAGGTCATGGTAAGTGTTTAATTGTCCTTGGAGACATAGGATTTAGAGTTTCCACAGCATCCCTGAAGGTACTCCCTACTATTAACCAGAGAAAATATTTAAAGTGATAAAGTGCCCCACCCTAAAGAAACCTAATGGGGACTCTTGAAAAACCAAAATGCATTTATTAAAATATAAAGTCAATTTTAAAATTATTGAAAACTAAATGTATATGTTAAGCAATATGAGAAGACTGGAATTTAATTTTTAAACAATTGAAAAAATGAAGACCAATCCAGTTTGTCTACACAACATATTCTTATTGGGGTCCTGCTGCTTAAGTGTCCACAAGACACTATTAAAAACAACTTCCGGGGTTTTCATCGTAGTTGTATGTTTTATGTCTTTCTCCTTTTCATCTCTATCTTTGGCTTTCTACTGGTTTCAGTGTTTCCTCCAAGTCCCATCTGTGGTTTAGAACATAGCTCTCCTCCCACATTCCTTGGGTAAGAGAGAAGCCCAGTCTTCATGGATCAACTTCTAGATAAATGACACACAAGCAATAGACTGTAAATACCAATCTATCCATTTGCTCTGTATAAAATAGATCTTGAATAAAAATATACTCCGTGGCTTCTCTTCTGACTTTTGCATGGTGTCCTTTGATGAGCAGATGTTTTAAATTTAAATGTAGATATTTTTATCATTTCTTTTTGGTTTATACTTTGAGTTTATACTGACCCAAGAATTTTAAATCACAATGCATCCCTGAATACAGAGATTTGGAAAGTTAAGTTCAACACAAAAATTGCTGTGTGGGAAATCCTTCCCTAGCTCCAATTTATTAGTTTGAATACTTATTTATTTATTTTTTGTATCGGGCCCTTAATTACTGAGCTACATCTCCAGAGGCCCTTTCTTATTTTTTTATTTTGAGACAGGGTCATGTTAAATTACTTAGGGCCTTGATAAGTTGCTGAGGCTAGCCTTGAACTTGTAATTCTCCTGCCTTAGCCTCTGGAGCCACTGGGATTACAGGTATGCACCACCTTGCCTGACTTCTAGCTCCATTTCATAAGTAGTTTCTTTTTTCTTCTAAAATTTAAAAAAGTCTTCCTCTCTATTTGTAAGTTTTAATCTACCTGGAGTTTTCATGAATGGTTATCAGGAAGCACCTAATTTAAGGTGTGTTCAACAGCACATGTTGAAAAATCTATTTTTTCCCAGGGATGTGTTTTGCCTCTCTATCATAGATCAAAATCCCAGAAATAGTCTATCTGTTGGTGACAAATGCATACATATTAACTATGTAATTAATATCTCATATATATTTCTTTATCTTTAGAAGTGAGTTAGCTATTCCTGATTCTTTGCTTTGATTACAATTTAATTAAATCAATATATTACTTAGGAGCTCAGTCCTATCTATTAACAAGGTATAGTTCTCCATGTATTTACTCCCCAGTATCTTCAAAACTTGTATATACTTTTTAAAAAGTTTCTGATATCTTTGGTTGGACCTTTTTATTAGGTTTCTTATTTATTCCCAATGTACATAAATTAAGTTAGTTTTTATATATTGATCCTATATTCATCAACATTGCCAAGTCCCTACTTATTCTAATAATCTAATTATAACTTGTCTTGGATTTTTGATGCAGATAATTGTATCATCTGTGATATAATAAATACTTTTTTCTTTTCAATCTTTAAATCTGATTTAAATGTTTTTGATGTATTTTTATTACAGAGTTATGATACCATTTTAGATAAATTTCCTTTCTATTCATAGCTTGTTAGAAGTTTTTATTTTTTAGTACACATGAATTTTAAGATTTATCAAGTTATTTCCCTGTATCTATTGAGATGGTCATATGGAGGTTCTCCTATAATATACTAGGCAACTTAGTAGTATTTTATGTTTTGTTCATGATAAGCCAAGTTTGTGTTTCTGGGATTAATCCAATTTTATCAGGATATATTATGCCTTTCAAAATATTTGCTATTGACTTCATCAAAATTTCATGTTTTTTTAAAATATATGTTTATGGGTGAATCTTTTTTATTTTCTGTATAGTGGTTGATTTCAAAGTTACATTCATCTAATCATTTTAGAAAATATGCCCTTCTTTTTCATTTTTCAGAAAAACTTTACAGACACTTGAAGTAGTCATCCCTTGAAAAGTTTAATAAAATGTGAATAAAATGTGAAAGTTTAATAAAACTGTAACATGTCTAAGTCTGGTTTATATTTTATGGGAATATATTAACAAATGGTTCTCGATAATGTATACATCACTTTTCATTTCTAGCAATAATGTAGAAAGTACCTGTTGCCCCATAGCTTTGCAAACAGAGTAAATTATTTATCTTTTGAGGGTTTTTTAAACAAGTAATAAATAAGAAATAGTATTTCTTAATTTCTTTTATTATGATAAATTCATTGATTTTCTTAATTTCAAATATTATGTCATTTATTTCCAGAAGCTCTATTTTATTTTTTTAAGTTTTAGTTTTGTCTTTAACTGTTGGATTTTTCTCATTATTCCAAATCCAATTTTTATTTCATCAAATGTTTTATGCATAGCTGTTTTAAATTCAAGTATCAAATCATTTTAGTTTATCAAATCATTTGACTAAATCTCTTTGTTCTGTTTGTGATGTTCAATCACAACTACTTGTTTCCTTGTGTATACATGAATTTCCAATTATTGCTTTATGCTTGGGATACACTGTTAAAAAAAAAACAATTAAAGGAAACCATCCTTAAGAAAATTCATTACCACGTGGAAAAACTAAGAATTAGTAGCCAATAAAACATACAAATAAGTTGTGCTAGAAAATATATTAGACGTTGAAGAGCACTATGGGAAAAGAAAGTGGAGTCATGGAAAGGGGGATTGCAGGAGCCAGGAGAAGGCACAGGTGGCAGTCTTAAAATAGGATAGCCAAGATAACCCCACTGAGATGATTGGATTAAGAAAGTGCTTAAAAGGGAACAAACCATTTGGATATTCTGAAGAAGAGTACAAAAGGAGCAGCAGATACGAGGGCCCTGCTTGTAGGTGAGGACAGCCAGTGTCGAAACCATTCCAAGAAGTGCAAGAAAGCTAGCTAAGATGAAAAGGGAAAGCAGAAGTAGGAGACAGCCAGAGGGGAGATGAGGTCCACATCGTGCAGCACCTTGGGAAGCCACCCTCAGGACTTTGGCTTTTACTCCAAGTGACTTGGAAATTATAAGACTCATGTAGGGTTTTAAACAGAGAAGTGACAGGAGTCAGATTCTCTCCTAGTAAGAACAGATTCCATATGGGTAAGTGTGGAAGCAAGAAAGTGACCTAGGAGACTACTACCAAGACCTGGATGAGCAGTGATAGAGGGCAGAAGCAAGGTGATGGTAGTGAAGGAGGTGAGATGCTGTTGGATTGGATCTGTTTGGAAGGAAGACTTGAGAGTATTTGCTGATGGATCTGCTGTAAGTGATGTGAGAAACAGGTTGTACCATGATGGAATCAGGGAAAACTGCAGTAGAGCACTAGGATGGGAGAAATCAAAAGTTAAAGTTTAGGTATGTTAAGGTTGGAAAGTCCTTTACACATCTAATTAGAGATGCTAAGTGAACAACTAGATGTGCTTGGGCTCTTTCTCCTCCAGCGAGGAGGTCCACAGAGCAGGATAGAGGAAAGTGTGGCTACAGAGTCACTAATCAGGACCTCCTGAGACTAAGCAGGAAGCAGGTCTGATTTTATTGTGCAGTTACCATGTATATATACTCATGCAGTAGCTAAGCAGATTACAGATGGCCATCAATACAATGTCTTGCTAACTATCCTTGCAGCGACCAACCAAGGAATGAAGGGGTCATGGACAAACACAGGGACCACAACATGTGGCCTTGCTTCCAAGGCTGTGCCTATGGGGTAAGCAGTTTGCCGCTCCTGTGCCTTGCGTGAGGGGAGTGGCCTGCCACTCAGATGCCCTTAAGTATGCCTTATATGCAGTATTCCATGCACTTGTCCCCACATAGATGGGCAAGTATGGAGTCTGTAGGAAGAACACAAACAGAAATTTGGGAATAATAAACATGAAGAAAGTATTTAATTTCATTAGAATGCATGAAAACACCAAGGTATTAGTAAAACAAAGCTTAAAACATGGATCCCTGGGGGAGTTCAGTGTCAAAGAGGACAGGCAGGTGCAGAGGATTCAGCAAAGCAGGATGGAAAGAAATGACCACCGAGACATGTGGAAACCCAGGAGATGTCCCAGAAGTCAAATAAAGGAAGAGAATGATTCACCATGACAAATGATGCTGATAGTCAAAGACAAAGACTGAAAAATAACCATTAGATTTTGCAAAGTGGTGTTGCCAGTGACCATTAAAAAAAGAGCATTTATTTATTTATTTATACTTTTAAGACTGGTAGAGTCTAAATCCTGATTTGAGTAAGTATAAGAAAAAAAAGGGATAAAAGAAACTAGAGGTGCAAGGATGGTCACACTTCTTGCAGTTGTGCTCCAAAGAGGAACAAAGAAACAGGGGTGAAGTGAGAGGAAAGTGGGGTATCAACAGAATTTATATTCATTTATATTTTATGTTTATGGAATTTTCTATTTGAGATGAAGCATCTGGTGATTCAGGAGAGGAGAGAGAGCATGATTAGAACAAAGTGTCTCCACAAGTTGAAGTGATAGAACCTGGCCCATAAGGAAAAGCAAGCATGGAAGTCCAGCCATCTGTGGGTAAGAGGAGGTAGAGGTAGGAGCATGAGGAAGTTCTTATCTTTCTGTCACTGGTTCTTACAAGTATGGGAAGAGCCAACAACCACTTTGGACTTGGATATGCCCGTCATACTTTAAAAAAAATAAAATAAACCCAACCAATCATCCTCACCATTACATCATAAGAAAATGGCAATACTCTGTCATCTGTTATGGAGTCTAGTAGAGATTTGTAGCTCACTCTCTAAGGCCTACTAATAGTCACCATTGAGCCAGGTAGCCAAATCCTCATTTCCTTAGCTACTCCCATAGTGTATGCATTTACAGTCTTCATCATCATCTCCTCAAACCCAGGTATAACTCCATGTTGTTAAATAGTGAAGAAGTGACAAATCAAGTTCTGACCAAAATCTGAATTTCCATCACATTTCACAACCAAGTTATATGAACTAGGATAAAGCCTTCAATTCACAATGCCCCACTTTCCATAAGACTCCTACTCACATATTCTCATGAATAAGTCAATATTGTGTATATTAAACAGCACAAAGACACTATGTTTTGATTATTTTCTCTCTCTCTCTTCCATGTTGTCCTTATTCCGAATGCCACAGCAAAGCAAATAAACATACATTATGGATAAAACAGACACATCCAAAATGCATTCTCTGCAAATTTTCCTTATGTTGAATTATCTTAGTATGTACCCTTATAAAATTCATCTATCAGTTTTAACGTCTAGATGCCTTCCCAGGAAACATGCATAGAAGATTTCTAATAGACTGATTTCTCAAAAATGATACAAAAACTTATTAAAGAGTAATCTGTAGCTTCCATTAACGCTTGATTACTTAGTTGAATTTTAATAGTTTAAAAATGCCTATCTGATATCTCACTTGTGCGTGTGCATCTCTTTATAAATACATGCATATTTATATGCATATATCTATATGTATTTTTAGTACGTACCTGTGCATTTGGGCTTTAATCAATCTGTAAAACTTACTGTAGTTAGTTCTGATTCTATGCACAATACAATCTTCACAATCAGATACATGTCAGAGTTTGATGCTAGTTCAATAATATATTGTGCACAAAAAATACATTAAACACATATTACAATACAATTGCAAGGTTTCCGTCACGGAAATATGTAAGGGCATTTCATTTTCAAAGAGTGCTTTTTGCTGTAGGGTTTTTTTAAAAAACCATTTTGTGGTGAAAAATTAAATACTAGTTTCTTTGATGTGCTAGTTTCACTGAAAAGAATATATTACTAGAGAAAAGTGCTTACTATTTTTATAACCATATTTCACTTAAGATTTTCTCAGGGAAAAAAAAATGTTCATTTGTTTTTGTAGTGGGTCTGAGAAAGGGGTGATGAAAAGCCTTATAGTCCAGGCAATCAAGCTGAGAACAAAGGGCAGGTGTCATTTTTTATTGTGATTGGTCAGAGCTAAAATCAGGACACTCTCTCCATCTCCCTCTTCCTCTCACCAGAAGCTATTGTGGAATTTACAGTAATCACCCTGGCTGACTACCCAACACACAGCTGAACAGCACACCAAAAAAAATAATATCTGGGGAGAGGGCCACAACATATTTTTTAAATTCTCATTGGTTTTATCCTTCAACTTGGAAAGATGATTTTTTTTTTTTAAGAGGAAAGAAAATACTCACCCAGCTGTTGCCGCAATTCGTATTCCAATAGCCTCCGGACTGCCCGAGGCCACCTGGTTGACTTTTGCCTTGGAGTCGGTCCAGAAAAGCATTATTTACCCTTTAAAACAATGAAAAATGTGTGTAAGTAGAAAGCTTGCTGCAGGGCTAAGAGATTTCTGAGAACCTAATGTGCTGTATGAACTGACTGTGGGGATTGCTTGCTCCCTTCAGCTTAGCAGAAATCTACAGGAACCACTTTTCACAGTCACCACATAGCATGCTGGTCACAGTCCTTTTCTGGAGCTGGTGCCAGTCTTGGCTCAAGCCAAAGGGGGCATGGATACTTAAACTTGAGAATTTTATTCACCCATCTTGCACTAGTTCATCAAGAGTCTTGGCTATTCAAGCAACTGCAGTCCTCAGGGTTACGAAACCCAGAGGCTAAGGGAAAATGGAAATTTCAGCAGGAGGCAAAGCAAAAGAATAAAAAAAAATGGCTCTCCAGAGTACTCATGTTGCTCCACAGAAGTGTACCCCATTGCCAGTCTTGCTAAATAACGAGTGAAAAGTAGGAAAAAAATGGGAAGAAAGTAGAGGAAAAGGGAAATATCAGAGGAGAGAGAAGCTCAAGCTTTAGAAAAAAAGGAATGGGTATATCTTTTTCGGATATTCTGTCATACTTGAAATGGCCCTTTCAGAAATTAAATCCTGAATAAGAAAATGATTATCATCAAGGCCAAGATAAAGGCGACCTGTATAGAGATGTTCATAGAGTCATCCCTCAAAATCCACAGGAGACTAGGTCCAGGATTCCCAGGGATACCCGAATCCACTCCTGCCCAAGTCCCTTATGTAAAATGACATAATTATTTGAATATATCTGATGCACATCCTTCTATACACTTTATCATCTCTGATTTTATACAATACTTAATATAAGATCTATATCAAGGGTTGTTTTAGAGAATGACAAGAAAAAAAGGGTCTGTAGATATTTCAGTAAAGGCACAATGCTTTTTCCAAATATTTTCAACACATATCTGGTTGAATCCATGGATATGAAACCTATAGATATGGAGAGCTGACTGTATTCTATTTCTGAAACTGGATATGTGGGGTTTCACTTTACAATCATCATTGTGTATTTTTATGGACTGTTCTGTTTCATATTATAATTTTTAAAATTAAAAAAATACATCATCATCAGCCTATGCATGGCTGAGTACGGTTAGGGTCTTGGAAGCTAGAGAAATAGCAATGGATGACTTAGGAACTGTGCAAATAAGACTAGAAGCTTCTAGGGAGCAGAAAAAGAACCTAGTGCACTACAACCACATGTATATGTAAAGAAGACAGGAAGCAGACATGGTAGACTCCTTTCCAGTCATAAGGACTGGTCATAGTGAGTGTCTGCAAGTCCTTTACTGTGGGAGATTTGGGCATTTTGAGGAAAATAATGGTTGAGTAGCAAAGTCAAAAGCTGGAGATTGTTTGTCTCCATGCTTGCTCAGTGCTAGCCAAGATGCCAATGGTGTTTTGACTCATTTTGACCTCTGAGTTACTGAGTTGCTGTTTCTGCACAACTCTGTCACATGGAGGTTCCATCTCAGCTGTGCTACAGCTTTTTCCCCTCCTGCCATGAAATCTACCCAAGTGCCAAACCCTGGTCAGCCTGGCTCACTGCAGGACTCAATGTGTAAGTCACCTTTTCTCAATCTCTCAGCAGACAGGATGAAAAGTATCTTACTGAGCTGAAGACTTGAAATATTAAGGAAGAGGAAACTGACCCAGATTCTCCTTAAGCAACACAACCAATGGAATTCTGGACTGCCTATAAGTCTGGGGCTGTTTAGATCTAGTTCTTTTGTTAGACAAAGGGACTTCCTCTCATTATCCCCCACCCATCTCACCCTACATCCAAACCAATAGAGGTCTTGTGTGCTCTCCCTACTGAATACACCCTGAATCCACTTGCTTCTTTCCATGGACTCCATTCTGGTTCTAATTTACATCACCTCTCCTGGATACTGCTGCACTCTCATCCTCTGGAATGCACTCTCCACACAACCACCTCCCTAAATTATAAGGCTTGCTTCCTCTTTAACCCTCCCATGACTTCCCATTGGCCCCTTAGGCCATCTTGTATTGCCTTACTCCTGCCTCCTTTTTCTACCTCAATACAATAATCCAACCATTTGGGATTCAAAGTCCATTCCCATGTTAGAGCCTTGCAATTGCTCCTCTCTTGATCAAAAGGCACCACACAAGTACATGTTTCTGCCTGAATCTGTGTGTCTCTGACTGTCCCTTGTACTTGGAGGCCAGCTCTTCAATGAGGCCTTCTTCAGTCTATCACCTCTGATGGCTCATCACCTGTGATAGTCCTCACAGTACTTATTTTTCCCCTTCTAAAATAATCCTGCAGTTTAATTGTTGCCTTCTCTTTCTCTCTTCTGGATTGCAGGGTCCAGGTGGTGTGATATCTTTTCTGCCTTATTTACCCCATTTTTTGGGGGGAGGACAGGGGTTACTGGGAATTTAACTCAGGGGCACTCGACCACTGAGCCACATCCCTAGTCCTATTTTGCATTTTATTTAGAGACAGAGTCTCACTGAGTTACTTAGTGCCTCACTTTTGCTGAGGCTAGCTTTGAACTTGCTATCCTCCTGCCTCAGACTTCGGAGCTGCTGGGATTACAGAAATATGCCTCTGTGCCCAGCTTACCCCATTCTTGAACTTGAACAAAGCCTTGGCAGAGTGAGCCATGATAATGTACTTATTGAATAAATGAATTTTCTTGGCATTTGTCTGTTTCTGTGAAAACAGCTGCACTGTGAAAAACCCACCACTAGAAAGGACAACACGCAATACAGCTCACTGTCCACCATTCTCACTGCCTCATCAGGAAGCAAGGTACTATGTTCACTCCTGAGCATCAGTAACTAAGAGGGTCCTGGTGGTTGAGTTCTCCTTAATACTTAGGAGTGTCTTCAATTGGGCTATCCACTGAAGAATGGGTCAACCAGAGATGGTGGGTGGAAAAGAGATTTTTTTCTCTCTCAAACTCCTATCAAGAATACAAACAGGATATACACCTGTAATCCCAATGGCTCAGGAGGCTGAGGCAGGAGGATCATGAGTTCAAAGCCAGCCTCAGCTACTTTAGTGAATCCCTAAGCAACTAAGTGAGACCCTTGTCTCTAAATAAAATATTTTTAAAAGGGCTGAGGATGTGGCTCAGTGCTTAAGCACCCCTGGGTTCAATCCCAGGTACAAGAAAAAAAAATTACAAGTAGGGTGGGGAGGAAGGAGAGAAGTAATGTTAGGGAGTGATATTGGCCAAACAATACTGTACAAGTATATAACAACAAATCCCTCATTATTTACAACTATAATACACCAATTTTTTTAAATGTGGGAAAAAAATACTAATAGGAGCCAGGCTTCAAGGCACGTTCTATAATTCCTGCAACTCTGGAGGTTGAAGCAGAAGGACTGAAAGTTTGAGGCCAGCCTAGGCAACTAATAACTGTCTCAAAATAAAAAGGGCTGTAGCTATAGCTCACTGGTAGAGTATCTCTGGGTTCAATTCCCAGTGTTGCAAAAACAAAACTAAAGAATACAAATGAGGGGAAGTTTCACTTTATATTTTTGTTATCTAGTTTGTTAGCTTTAGATTACATATATTAACATGTGTATTATAATATTAATATATGTTATTGTTGCCAAACTTGCCTTCTAGGTTTTCTTCTGAGGGTTAATATGGATATTAATAAGAGATGGTTCAAATTTCAATAAATCAATTTGATTCACTCTGGCATTCAACTTGTGGCCCAGATCCTTTCAAGGCTTTGACCACTACTTCCCCCCAAACCCTGGTTCTGTCTGTTCTCTCTGGAGTCCCTGCCTGTCTTCTCTTGCTCAAATAATTATACTGGGTCAGGTTCAAGGGTGGGGGCAAGCTCGAGCTCATTATAGGATTCATTGAAGAGTTCATGAGGAATCCCACCAACTTTCTGTTATAAAACTCAGGATAAAGTTTTATACTATGTGAACTTCTAAACAGGAGAAAGCATGTTGCCTTTCCAACTCAAAATTATGTCCTTGGAGAACACTAATCTAGGTCCCCTACACACATACTATATAGCTTTTGGTATGCTATTTGTTCATTAAGAGGATACTGAGTATTGAGTCTTCTCTTATGATACCATAGGGAATCTCTCTACAAACTCTAGGGACAATCCAAAAGTAAGCTCTTTTCAAAAATTGATTAAGAACATAAAAATTTGTGTTTAATATTTCAAAACTGATTTCTGAGTTTATTATCCAGAGACACTTCCTCATGGAATAAATTTTGATTTACTTTCATTAGAACCAATAAAAGAGAAAATAAGGTATCAAAAATAAACAGCCCCACCAATATTTAGGTATTCAGTGGTGTGGAAATTAAATCTACAGAATGAAGGCCAAGATTCTATAACAAAAATGTAATCTTTTCCACCTCTAATCAAATAACTTGTCTTTTATTGGGTGCTATGAAAGATAAGGTTTTTGGTTTTTTTTTTTTTTAGCAATGGGGCCTGTTAAAGTGACACATCACTATTTTTAAAATGCTTAAAGCTTCCCAATCTAATCATTCCTCAGAAATCCAGAGAAATAATTGGCAAGTACTAGCAAATCAGTGTTATATAAACATAATACCATTTTTAACAGAAATTCTTGAAAACAGTAAATGAGCAAAACCAATAAAAAGGACTAAATTTATGGCCTATTTTATAATAAACAGATAACCATAAGGATCTCCTCCCTGCATCAGCTTACTCAACAAACAGATAATATCTCAAAGTTTTCAGGTTTTCCTTAAGACCAGAGAAACACATAAATTCACATTTGAGATTTTAAAACTATTTTGATTGGACGATGGAGGCAGCATATCCATATTGCACTTAGCTAGTGTAATATTTCACTTTTGAAACTTTTACTTAAGTACTATTTGGATGTGAAATTATTTTCCTATATAAGTAGGTAGCAAAAATAATTGTGGCTTAGTCAAACAGAATAGCTCCATGAGTGAAAAACTGTCAGATTAAATAGCCAATGTGCAATGGTCAAGAAAT